GCCCGCGGTCGCCGCGGCAACGGGACGCGGAGCCGGGCGGCGGCGGCGGCCGCGGGCGCCTCACGCCATGTCCCAGATCCTGTGCGAGTGGCTCAACCGGGACGTGAAGCTCTCCCGGCGCATCGGTGAGTGGGGCCCCGCTGCGCGGGGACGGGCAGGGCTTGGCCGCGGGGGCAGTGGGGTCAGCAGGGTCAGGGTCGGGCCGTCGTGCCAAGGGTCCCCCCGCGGCCGCCCCCTGACGGGCCCGTCCCCTTCCCGCCACCACGTGCCTCCGCCGGTACTTTTTTAGTCTTCGTGTGAGAGGCAGGGACTACAGATCTGGTAGAGTTGGAGTAGACCTTCAGGACTGCCCAGTCCAACCACACACACAGCAGTGCCCCTATAACCCCGTAACCACTAAGCCACTTCACCCAGCACCAGATCCAGACGCCTCTTGAACACCTCCAGGGGTGGTGACTCCTTCACCTTCCTGGACAATATGTTCCAATGCCAGAAAATTATCATGCTGAAGTTAATTCTCCTCAAGGGACAGGTGCTCTCAAGAGATAGAAGGTGCTCAAACTTAAAGCACTAATAAGGACTCTAGAGAATAAAAAATAGTTTAATATGTTTGGAAAATAGTGCTTTGTATTGAATGGAAGCTGTTGTGCTGGCATTGGAAAACCATTTTTTCTGTAAGGAATGAACAAAACCCTCAGAAAAATTAGAGAGATGGGCAGTCACCAGCTGTATGAAGTTTAATAAGGTGCCACCTTCTGCATCAGGGATGAGGCAACCCTGTGTGTGTGTATAGACTGGGAAAGGAGATGATGGGAAACCACTGCCATGGAAATGGCCCTGGGGTTCCAGGTCAATGGCAAGCTGAGCATGAACCAGCAGTGCCCTGGCAGCCAGGAGGGCCAACCCTGTCCTGGGGGCATCAGGCACAGCATCAACAGCCGGGCAAGGGAGGGGATTGTCCCGCTCTGCTCTGCACTGGGGTGGCCTCACCTCGAGTGCTGGGGGCAGTTTTGGGTGCCACAGTGTAAGAAAGACATTGAACTATTAGAGTGTCCAAAGAAGGGCAACGAGGATGGTGAAGGGTCTGGACAGAAAGTCATGCAAAGTGGCCAAGGTCAATTGCTTTGTTCAGCCTGGACAAGAGGAGACTGAGGGGAGACCTCACTGCAGGTACAACTCCCTCATGAGAGGAAGAGGAGGGGCAGGCACTGATCTCTGCTCCTTGGTGACCAGCGACAGGAACTGAGGGAGTGGCCTGAAGTTGTGTCAGGGAAGGTTTAGGCTGGGTATCAGGAAAAGGTTCCTCTCCAGAAGGTGTTTGGGCACTGGAACAGGTTCCCCAGGGCAGTGCTCACAGCACCAGCCTGACAGAGTTAAAGAAGCATGTGGAAATGTTCTCAGGCTTGTGGTGTTTGACACTTGGGGTTTGCTGTGAAGGGGCAAGAGTTAGACTCAATTCAATGGGTCCCTTCCAACTCAGTGTGTTCTGTGATTGTATGAAGAGGAGCAAATTAGAAGTAGCTTTTTTTTTTTTTTTTTTTTTTTTTTTTTTTTTTTTTTTTTTTCATCTGCATTTTGTATGGAAAATCTAGTAATTATGGCTTATAGATATTTTCACAGTCTCAGTGGCAATTATGACGATGTTTGCGTTTTAACACTGAAAATTGGAAATTATTATGTAAAGCTGATGTTGCAAAATGACTACACAGAAAGTATTTTTATTTGTGATTTGAAAGCTATTACTGTCAGATGAATCTCCTAAAATTTCTTTGAATTATTTACTAAACTTTGGATTTAGTTTTGTTATAAACACGTTAACAAGTTTTATTAAAATTAACATTTGGATTCTTTTAATTATTTTATCTAAAAAACTCCAAACAATCACGAAACCCCCAAACTTAGTTCCAGGATCATTTCCAGAAGAATTTTCTACTGGCTACCTCCTGGGAGAACTTCTACACAAATATGGTCTTCAGGATGACTTTAAACAATTTTCACAGAACAGGTTAGTACATATGAATAACATTTGGTCTCTTGTGTAAAGTAACAAGTCTCTCACATAAAGAGACAAAATATGTATTTCCTTAGCTGGGATTTGCTAATGCACTGTAGAATTTATTGAGATTTAAAAATATTTTCAGTAATTCAAAACCTAAGTATGTTTGAGGTATGAATTGATTTTGTATTTACAGAGAGATTGATCATACTTCTTCAAGAAGATTTTGCATTTTAATTGTAACTACAAAAGTACCTCTGGTTGGAACAGATGTTCAAAAAACCTTGCAAGGATGTCTTTAAGATTGGGTAATGTGGAACTCTGCCCGTGATCTGTGTAGAATAAGGAATACGGTGTTGTGTTGTGGTGGTGACCATAACATCTTCACTAAAATGAAGATGTTTGAGAAATATTATGAGGCTTTGAGTGGAGCTCTGGCAGAAGTTCATATAAGGATTTATAAGTTTACAAGTAATCTGCTGTAATATCTATAATCAAGAAGAACTGTAAAATGGGAAGTTGAAAAATCTTGTGCAGATCCATGCACTTTTATACATTGATGATGCAATTCCTGAGGTTGGCTTATGTTGTGTTTTGTCAGACCATGGTGCACATGTACATCAAGGGTTCCAGGCTGTACAAAATCCTTCTGTTTCTTCTTCTGAACCTCTTCTTTTATGTTCTTTGAACCTCTAGTGTATTCACACCCTTTCTTATCCCAAGTCCCACCAAATTTTGGAGAACAGGTTGAGCACAGCTAATAAAGGCAGCCAACAAAAAGCAGTTTCACACACAGTTCTTGAACTCTGTTTCTAGGACTTCTAGATCTCTTAGGAATTTCTGGTATCATTGGAAAACCCCTGGTAATTCTTAGAGTTCCTGCTGTTGTTGGGAAAAATAGCTTCAGGA